AGTAGGACATAACTGAAACAACAACAACAAAAGTGGGAAATTCAAGCCATTTTGATCGATCAACAAGGCAGGAAAACATACATTAGAGGGTAAAAATGGAAATGAAGAGGTCAAAATATAATTATTTTCAGAAGGCCAACCCCCCCCCCCAACCAAACAGAGCAAATAAGTAAGTTACACAAAATCTAAGGCTATAAGAACCCATGTAGTCCTCCGCAATCATACTTACTAGTAAGAAACATCAAGAAAAGAATCCCAATTTACAACACCAAAATTATAAAATATTAGTGAATTAGGAATCCATAGGGCCTATAGATGGAGAATTTTATGTATACATATCTATACATACATAAACATACACATCCCTGTTATTTCCTTGATAAAGGAGACATTCTCAGTGGAAAATCAATGCAGATTAGAAACTTTTGAGAAATGTTTAGTCCTAGTTGTCTAGCTCACAGACACTTTGTATTGCAGGTGGGTTTTGAACCCACACCTTCTTGACTCCAAAGTCAATGCTAGCCCTCTGACATTCTGCCTCTCATAAAACTCTAATGACCAAGATAAGGGAAGATGTGAATAACTGGGGGCATACTCAATATTCATGGATGAGTTGGATTAATATAGTAAAAATGACAATACTACCCCAAATAATTTATCTGCTTTAATACAATACTAATCAAAACACCAAGGGGTTTCTTTTATAGAACTATTCAAAATCATAATGGATTTTCTATGGAAATGTGGGCAAGAATATTGAAGGGCATAGAGAAGAGCTGATAAAAAGACTTATGCTCCCAGACTTCAAAATATATTACAAAGCAGTTATCATTAAAACTCTCTGCTATTGAATGAAAAAATAGAGAAAGAGATCAATAGATGCTAGATATCCAACCACAGCTAAACAAAGCATTATTGACAGAACTTTACGTAGAAAATAAAAACCGAGGAATGCATTCATTATTTAAGAAATGTTATTTGAGAAAATGGGCTGTCAATTTGGTAGGAAGGAATTTGGACCCACATCTCATATCATATCTCCCTTTAACCTACTGCTCAATGAATCTTCGCTGTTTTTGTAAAAGTACCTTATTAGTTCATTTTTATTTTTATGCTACAAATACTTACTACTAAGTGACAAGTAGCTGGTGTTGGAATGGATAGAGTGATGGGCCTGGAGACCAGAAGCCCTGAGTTCAAATTGAGCCTCAAAGACTTAGCTGTGTGTCCCTGGGCAAGTCACTTAACCTTTATTTGCCTTAGTTTCCTTAACTGTAAATTAAGGATTAATAATAGCACCTACTATGATGTGCAGCTAGGTGGCGCATTGGATAGAGCACTGAGCTTGGAATCAGGAAGATTCATCTTCATGAATTCAAATGCAGCCTCAGGCACTTAGTAATTATGTGATTCTAGGCAAGTCACTTCACCCTGCTTGCCTCAGTTTCCATACCTATAAAATGAGCTGGAGAAGGAAATGGCAGACTACTCCAGTATCTTTGCCAAGAAGACCCCAAGGAGGGACACAGAGAGTTGGACAGGACTGAGAAATGATTTAACAACAAAACTTCCCAAAGTTGTTGTGAAGATTAAGTGAGATAATATTTATAAAGTACTCAGTATAGTGCCTCGTATACAGTAGGCATTTAATAAATACTCATTTCCTTCCTTCCTGTGCCAACTATAGCACCCTCTCGTATAATGTAGGAGAACAGCAAAAGAGTTAAGGAAAATAATCAACTTCATTAACCATGATTGATGGAACATGCCACATTTTGTACTCATAGCCTGCCACCTCTCCATTCAGAAAGAAGGAACATTTCCACATTAGTCACGTAGAATGAATATTAATCATACACTGTCCTGGGTCTTAGGGTCTTTTGCTTTTTTTCTCCATTTTGAAAGGCCTTTAATGGGTGAAACTTGACTGTTAACTTCTAGGAATATCTGTACATAAATTTTATACAAATAGTGTGGAAGCAACCTTAGCTCCCTCATGCACTGAATTTTTTAGATGTTTATTACTGATAATACCTACTTTCCAAATTTAAGTCTGTCTTATAATGAAGAAAAAGTTAAATAAAAAACAATTAGAATATTGACTGATTCTGACAAGCATTTATTTATGTATGCAACATTCTGCTTTTTAATGTTCCCCGCTTTTTTACTATATTAATATAACGAGATTTTAAAAGTTTGTCCATTTGATATTTGCATTAGTTTTGCTACTACGAGGTGCTGTTGTTGTGGGGGTCTTCTAATTGATTGTGAGCTGAGACAATGTAAAGGAAAGTTACATCTATCTACACGCGAGCTTTCTACATAGAGAACAATTTCTACAAATTTTCTACATATTTTGTCTTTATTTGGAAACGCTTTTTAGACTAGAGGTTTACACCCTTTGTATTTTTTTAACCTAAAATATTTCAAGTTAGAAACTTTGTACCTAGAAGACTTTATTTTTTTAAAGTTTATTTCAAGGAGCCTTGCCTCCCTGTAGTTCAACAGCCATGAACTTGGGTCAGTTTTCCAGAACAATCTGTTCTTTCCCCTACTTAACCACAGCAAGAAAAGACAGTGATTTTCTTGTAATGCCTTTTACAATTATTTCTCTTGTGAAAGACCTTTTAGGAGGAGCAGATTGAAAGTCACAAGCTCTTAGGGCCGATGACAATGATATTTAACAGGCCAGGGTTGGCCAGGGCATGATGGTAAAAGTACCCTTGGGAAACGCTCCCAGAGATGACAGTTGTGTGTTGACCCTGAGGCTTCAAGTGATGAAACAGCAGTATACCATGGCAACTCATTATTACATCCTCAGCCCGAGGGCTCACGGATGAGGCTGGAGGGTCATTTTGGGCTTCTCAGAGATGCCGTTTAACATATGCTTTTCTCTTTAAAACAGCACAGGGATCTTCCCCTCCTCACTGAAACCAGAGGAGGTTATTAAAACTAAGGGCTTTTTTGCCCCAGGGTACTTCCCATCTAAGAATGCTGGTCTGTCTGGCATGGCACCTTGAGTGGGTCCACACTGCCTGGAAGGGCAAAAGGGCTTTGATTCAACCTTTACCATCCCCACTCCTTTCCTTTAAACATTCTCGTACTGATGCAACACAATAAGGTGGAGGAAGAGTCTTTGAAATGGCCTTTGGCCACCCAGTTTATGATTTTTAAATCTCTTCTGGTAGAGCAAGGTGCACATTAATGTCAATGAGTGAACACGGTGGGGAAATGATGGAGATGTAGACTGGCCTAATGTCACAGTCAAGATCTGAAATATATGTGTGTGTGTGTGTGTGTGTGTGTGTGTATGTAGGTATGTATGTATACACACATGTATATATGTATTACATATATAATTGTATGTCATAATATATATGTTATTGTATATATAATTGTACATTATATAATACATGTAAATAATATATTATATTGTGTATATGTATATGTGCACACACATGCCCACATGCAATCTTTGATTGGATGTAATTCTAAACCAGGGTCTATGAGAGGCAGCAATACCATAGAGGATGAAATGGTCCACTTGGACTCAGAAAGACCTGAATTCCAGTCCTGCCTCATATGTTCACTAGCTATGTGACCCTGGGCAAGTCACCTAGTTATTCTTTTCCTAAGCTCACTCAGCTTTACAATGGGGACAGTAATAACAGCTATCCCATGGGGTTGTTGTGAAAATCAAATAAGATAAAGTAGGTAAAATTCTGCCAAAGTCCGTTTTTCTTAATTCTATTAGCTATAATTAATTATTATGACATAACATATGAATATGAATTATAGGATTATTAATAAGGCACACTAAACGTATGGGGCTGATAAGGGCAATATTTGTTCATCCCAATTCCCTTATGACTTATGCACATATTTCAAGTATTGGTGGCTTTCTGTAAATATAGTGATGATCTTCATTTTCTCTGGCTGCCCACCATGCCTAGAATGCTCTCCCCCTTTATATGTGCCTCTTTGCTTCCACAATTTCCTGTAAGTCCCAAGTAAAATCTCACCTTCTAAGGAAGCTACTCCCAAGCCCTCTTAATTCTAGCACCTTCTCTCTTTTATTTATGTCCTATTTATCCTGCATATGGCTTGTTCGCACATATTTGTTTGCTTCTTGTTTCCCCCATTAGATTGTGAGCTCCTTGAGGGCAAGAACTGTCTTTTGTCTCTTCTTTGTATCCCCAGCACTTAGCACAGTGCCAGACACAGAGTAGGCACTTAATAAATGTTTATTGACTGACTGACAGGTGCTCCAAAATCACTAGTCATTGTGAACATTTATAAAGGCCTATAAATGTTTTAGGGCAACTAGGTGGCACAGTGGATAGACCGCTGGGACTGATGCCAGGAAGACGCATCTTCCTAAGTTCAAATCTGGCCTCAGACGCTTACTAGTGGTGTGACTCTGAACAAGTCACTTAACCCCATTTGCCTCAGTTTTCTCATCTGTAAAATGAGCTGGAGAAGGACATGGCAAACCACTCAAACGTCTGCCAAGAAAACCCTAAAATGGGGTAACAAAGAGTCAGACACAACTGAAACAAGTGAAAAGCAACAACAAAAATAAACATTTTGTAGATTAAGAGAATGAATTGGAAAAAAAAAATGGACTAAATCCCCATGATTCTGAGACCTTTCTCAGGGCCTAGATCTCTTGCCAACAGAAAGGAAAGCTTTGCCAAAGGCACCTCACCTAGAGAGTACTAGTGAGACCTATTTATAGAGCATTCTCAAGTTGAGTCAGGTCAAGAAGCATTTATTAACTTCCTACGTAGGTGCCAGGCACTGGGCTGAGAGATGATGGGTAGGGCACCTATGGCCATCATCATTTTAAAGAAAAGGAAAGTGGGGCAGAGAGAACCAGGAATCACAAAGCTGGTTAGCGTCAGAGTGGGGACCGAGCCCAGTTCTGGGCTCTGTGACATACTTGGCCCATCCCTACTTAGTGACTACACCGACTTTCTAAGATGAGCTGGGTGGGCCCATGGAAGGCTTTTACCCTTCCTTGGGGTTTAACCCCCAAATGGGGTTTATTTGGGTCATACCCAAATATAATGATGAGGGCCTACAGCAGGAAGTGTCAGAGGAGAGAAAGGAGTTTATGTTGTTGAAGTAGAACAGACTGGATATGTTGGGTGAATGATAGTGAGGAGTAGAGGATGACAACTAGGTCATCTACTTCCAGGCCAGAGAAGCTTTTGTAGGTAGGGAGAATGAGGATAGGGATAAGGACGGACCTGGAGAATTGAGGTAAGGATGGAGATCAGGGTAGGGGTGAGGGTGGCCATGGGGATGAAGGTGGGCATGGGGATGGAGGTAGGGATGAAGATGGGGTTGGGGAGGGTCAAGATGAGAATAGAGATGATGGTTGAGAAGAGGATGGAGATAAGGGTAGAGATGAGGATGAAGTAGAGATGAAGATGGGTGTGGAGATGGGGATGGAGATGAAGTCATGGATATGAGATGAGGGTCCCCTCCTTTCACAGTTATTTCCCGTCCTCTCCCCAGCTGAAGCTGAGCTGCGCACGTTCATTTTCAAATCCTACCAGCCAAGTCCAGATTCTCCCCAGGGGGGCCAGGAGTGATGCCCTTCACAACAGCTACGTGCGACCTTGACCTTGGCCCAGGGCCGGCCAGCGCTACCGCAGCGCAAACGCCCTCGCCCTTTCATTCTCCCCGCGAGCCCTGCTTTTTTCTTTTTTTTTGAAACATCACATTCCATTGGTCCCTGGCACCGCCCCGCCCCCACCCCAACCCTTCCCCTTATGTGACCATACCACCCCCACCCCCCACCACCAGTTCTTCAAGCTCCTGCTCTTGTTGGCCTTGCCGGTGAAGGCGCGCACCTGCCCTCTCTTGGCTTTGGGGAAGGGGATGAGGCGGTGCGTGCGGCAGGGGGCAGGAGACATGGGCTGCTGAGGCAAAGCAAGGGTTACAAAGTTTCAGCCTTGAATGAACACCCCCCACCCTTTGTACTCAGATACAGCCCTGGAATAAATAACTCCTGTGGTGGGGTCTGTGTATTCGTGGCTTATGGGAGAGTTGTTCAATGAATGTCTACCCCCGTTCCCTGAGTCCTGCTGGCAAGGAGATCCTGAGAGTGGGAAGCGTGGTTCTACAGCCCTCTCAGCCCCACAAGCTCATTTCTTCACGACCCTGCCAAGTATGTAGGGTGAGGAGTCATCTCCCCATTTTCCAGATGAGATAGGAAGATCATTGAGAAAATGTTACATGAAGTGCACACAGTGATCCCCTTTTTCAAGCAGTTTAGTTCGCTTTTTACCCCGGTGCTTCAGTGCTCCATGATTGAGCTCATGCGGATGAACCCCCCACTTGGGTGTGCAGTGCAGTGTCTTGGCTTGCTGAAGCTGGAAACTGTACCACCACCTGGTCACAGGAGAAGGTTCACGGGATGTGGTAGTTTAGTGTAAATCTGAAGAAGGTGTAATTTTTAAAAATTAATTAATTAATTTTTAGTTTTCAACATTCACTTCCATAAGCTTTTCAGTTTTAAATTTTCTCCCCCTTCCTTCTCCCTCCCCAAGATGGCTTGCAATCTGATATAGGCTCTACATGTACATTCTAATTAAACATAGTTTCACATTAGTCATATTGCATAGAAGAATTAGAACAAGTGGGAGGAATCACAAGAAAGAGGAAACAAAGCAAAACAGAAAGGAAAGAGAGAGAGCAAATAGTATGCTTTGATCTGCATTCAAACTCCAAAGTTCTTTCTCTGGATATGGGTAGCATTTTCTATCATGACTCTTTTGGAGTTGTCTTAGATCCTTGTGTTGCTGAGAAGAGCTAAGTCTATCAAAGTCAGTCATCACACAATGTGGCTGTTACCATGTACAATGTTTCTCCTGGTTCTGCTTACTTCACTCAGCATCAGTTCATGTAAGTTCTTCCAGGTTTTTCTGAAGTCCACCTGCTCATCATTTCTTACAGCACAATAGTATTCCATTACATTCATATACCACAACTTGTTCAGCCATTCCCCAATTGATGGGCACCCCTCAGTTTCCAATTCTTGACCACCATAAAAAGAGCTGCTATACATATTTTTGTACATATGAGTCCTCTTCTGTTTTTATGATCTCTTTGGGATACAGCCTTAGAAGTGCTATTGATGGGTCAAAGGGTATGCACATTTTTATAGCCCTTTGGGCATAGTTCCAAATTGCTCTACAGAATGGTTGCATCATTTCACAACTCCACAAACAATGCATTAATGTTCCAATTTTCTCACATCTTCACCAGCATTTATAATTTTCCTGTTTTGTCATGTCAGCCAATCTAATAGGTGTGATGTGGTACCTCAGAATTGTTTTGATTTGCATTTCTCTAATCAATAGTGATTTAGAGCATTTTTATATAATTATAGATAGCTTTAATTTCTTCATCTGAAAACTATCTATTCATATCCTTTGACCATTTGTCAGTTGGGGAAATGACTTGTATTCTTATAAATTTGATTCAGTTCTCTATATATTTTAGATACGAGGGCTTTATCAAAGACACTGGTTTTAAAGATTCTTTCCCAATTTTCTGCTTCCATCCTAATCTTGGTTGCATTGGCTTTGTTTGTGCAAAAACTTTTCAATTTAATGTAATCAAAATAAACCATTTTGCATTTCATAAAGTTTTCTATCTCTTATTTGGTTATAAATTCTTCCGTTTTCTATAAATCTGACAGGTAAACTCTTCCTTGCTCTCCCAGTTTGCTTATAGTATCAACCTTTAAATTTAAATCTTGTACCCATTTTGACTTTATTTTGGTATACAGTATAAGATGTTGGTCTATGCCCAGTTTCTGCCATACTATTTTCCAGTTTTCACAGCAGTTTTTGTCAAATAGTGAGTTCTTATCCCAGAAGCTTGGGTCTTTCAGTTTATCAAACAGTAAGAAGGTGTAAATTTTAGAAGCTCTTGGGGATAAGGGACCCAGGTATCTCTTCAATTGCGAGTGAAGGATGCCCCTCCCCCAAACTGAATACAATGGTGAACAGTTTAGGCCCTTGTCAGCCTCACTGACCCATTTAAGCAATGATCTACCTTGAGAGAAAAGATTAATTCTCTCTGGTATTAATAATTAATTATTGAATCAGGATCAAGATTCCCCCCACCTTTTTTTACTTCCTCATCCAGAAATCAACCAGCAGGAAATCTTTCTCAAAGATTTACCTAGCCAGGATGGCTAAGATCTAATCAAAAACAGTAAAAGAAATTCCAAGTTTAGGCAAATGGCTGGATTCCTGCTCATTTTGTTTATGCAGACAAGTCTGGGCAAATGTGGATTCCCCCTTCTGTCAGATAGATGATTAGAAGCTGATGTCTCTTTTACCAAGATTTGGGTGCTCCATGTCACAAGTCCTCATTGTTATATATCCCATCTCTCATTATAATATTCATTCATTAATTGTTAGCCAGAGTTGATTGCCACCCTCAGGAACACCCACTCTTCCTAGGGCATATAAACTATGAGCCCAGGGCTATGCCCACTGACATTTGAGAGTACCATTGAGCTCTTTTATTAACAAAATGCTAGCATTATTTAAAAAAATGGTTAAATTACTCAGAAACTATGTCTTTGAACTTTTTAAGCATCACAGCTTCTTGTTGCCACTAGATCCTGAGGGATGTGGCCCCTCTCCATTTCTTCCTCCTTCCCTGACTCAATGTCTTGCTCTCTTTGAACTTCTTTTATTTGCTGCTTGTATTTTTTGTAATGGAGTTTAATGTCCCTATAAACATGATCCTAGCTTTGGTGCATTCTGAGCAAATGTTTGCCATAAGGAAGTAGGGAAAGAGAATCTATGAACTAATAGCCCTAATCACTTTAACTATGACCCTGACAGTATATGTATTGTGAGATAACCCCTGAGATTAATATGTCTGTTTTCTATGAATTATCCTCCCAGGGAGGCCCACCGAATACAGAGTAAACCTGTTGGCTAAAAGGAGTCAATCAATCAGGAGCCTGCAGTGAGCCAAAGTCTCGCTCACTCCCAGATGCCTTTGCTGGTGTTTGCTGGCTAACCTTGCTGAGCTGTGCACCCCAAGCCAACCTAAACCAGCCTTGTGGTCAAGTGCAAAAAATACAGCTTCTCTGTTCCTGGGAAAGACTTTCCATTCTTTTATCCCACCCCTCTAAACCTCCCCTTTGTGGTTTTCATGGCTTGGTCTTTTGTAGGCTATGGGTTCCTCCCCGTGCCTTAGCACTTGGGTCTGATTTTTCTCCTAATAAAACTTTTCTGCTTTCAACTCAGCTTGGACTCCTCTGCATTTTGAGGGATGGGCTTCAACCAGTTAACAGTATATATGAGTGTATATGTATATACATGTACATATGTGTGTGTGTGTATATATATACACACACACACACACATATATGTGTGTATGTGTGTATATATATGTATATATAATGTACTATGAATATATATATGCTTATGTGTGTGTATTACATATGTGCATCAAGGTGTAAGAATGACTTTTTGAGTTTTTTTAATTCCAAAGTCAGATACACTTATTAAAATAAGATATCCATCCACCAAAAGGTTAAGGAAACAGAAATGCCTACAGCCTGCAAGGCCCTGAATCTGGCCCTACCATCCTTTTCTATTTGGAAGGAAGAAATCACTGATACAGAAATAGCAATAGAAGAGTCACTTCCCTAGAGGATCCCTTACTCTACAGGATGAGGTAGAGGTGCCAAATATCCAGTCAGGGGTCACATGTGGCCCAAACAATTTTGAGTAATGCCCCAACAAGACTAAAATGCAATTGGGAAATATTTAAGAAAATAAATAAAATACAATAAAGCATAGATAATGTTAATTGTGGTTTTCTAAGTTCATATCTGGCCCTCGGAGATCCTTACATAAGTTTGATGACCTCATTTCTATTTGTCTGACACCACTGGTATAAGAGGTACTATGTAACATAATCACATAAATTGTTCTTATTTGTCCTTTGTTTTCGAAGAGGACCAATGGCATCACAGACTTAAGTCTTTACTTGCCTGAGAACTGGATTTAACTCAGAAGTGCTCAAAGGTGGCAGCATCACTTTCTTTTTCAGGGTCGTTGAAGTCCAGTGGCAGATCATTACTGGCAGATGGCCTGGGATGCATCAGATGACCTTGGCGTCTTTGACGTCAGACCAATCTGTATGCTATCCACAGTGCCTGCTTCAGCCGCCTTCAGAGGATGTTCGCATCCGTCCTTTCCACCAGGGGAAGTCTTCACATGCTTGAGGTAGGCACCACCAAACTCACTGACAGGTTTGAGGCCTGTCGGTTACCCTCATCCTGGGTTAGCCCATCTGCTGAAGTAGTTTACCAGAGTGTGGCAGCTGCACATGCTCCAGCTTCTTATAGGGAAAGAAGTGAATTGGACAAATTAAAAATCACAGGAATATTAGAAGCACTAATTGGGGGAGAGGCATCGGGGGAGACTTTCTCCGGTAAGAATCATCTGTGGTGAAGGAAGATAAATATTCTGAATTATTTTGCTTATATTTTCCTTCAATAGAAAGTAAACTCCTTGAAATCAGGTTCTACTTCATTTTTATCTTTTTCTTATCTCTTGGAGTCTAGAATAATACCTGACACTTTAATAAGAGCTTGTTGGTTGGTTGTTTTTTTTTTTTAATTGAAGGGCCGAGATAAGAAGGGGGTAGGTTTTAGGAACACAGGATGGCTTATTTAAATGCATGGAGGCCAGAGATTTGAAGTGAGGTTGGGGAGGCAAAAAGAAGTCCAGTTTGGCCAAAGTGGACATGCAACAAAGTTGAAGTCAGACTGGGGAGGGCTTTAAATGCTAGGCGGAAGAATTTGCATTCCAGAACCTAAAGGCAAAAGGGAGCCTGGCAAGCTTTGTGAAAAGGAAGAGACAGATGGAGCTCGACCTCATTAATGGCGAGATTCTCCGTGTTTTCAGATGAGCTTGTGTGGACTGCATTACTCTCTAGAATTCTATAAATTCTCTTCAGTGAGATCTTTAGCAATTGCATCTAGCATCT